CTCCGGGCTTACCCCGAAGGAGATGCCATGTCCTGCCGCTTCCCCGCCCAAATCCCAACTCCTTATCCTGAATCCCGGGTACTTGGCGCAGCCTCCACGCCTGCTTAATGACTTCACTGCAGAGCAGGGTGCAGCGCAGCGGGGAGAGGGGAGGCACATTGGGGACCACGTTGGAGCCACAGCCAGCGATTTACGGCAGGAAAAGCAGGGAGCCAGCAAAGAAACCAGGTTTAACCAGGCCTGGAGAGAGCAGCGAGGCTGGGAAGCAGGGGAAAGCGCCCTGGGGTGCCTATAGGGTGATAAAAGGGCGAGAGCTGGACAGGGAGATGCTGCAGACGCAGCGTTTGGTGACTCGGTGCAGCCCGGCCACTGCCCAGAGCTTTGAAGGCAGCGAGCGCCGAGTCTCGGAAGGACAGAAATACAGAAAACGCTGTGTTTTGGATGGAGGAAAAGCGAAGTGGAGATCTTGTGGAGAGTCCTCGCTTGGGAAAAAGGGCTCGTGCTCCGAAGACGTGGATTTTGCAAGCCCGGTCCCTCTCCTGCCGGGGGGCCCAGCAAGTCTGCGCCGCGACCGGCCTCCTCCTCCTCCGAGGCAGCGGCCGAGCCCTGATCCGATGGCGCCTGGGCCGCCCTGGGAAGCGCATGGATGAGCACGGAGCGCCGTGAAAACCAGACGCCGGCACGTGAGGAGCAAAGGACACAGAGAGCTGGAAAACCCTCGGGCTCCTCCTGCTTCAGCAGTGTCCTGGGGAACCGGGGCCGCCCCGGTGACAGTGACAGGCACTATCCTAAAAACCCAGCAAACCCCCGGGGTTGCTCAGGGAGGGACCCGGGTGTCCTCCGGTGTGGGACACGCACAGTGCGACGCGAGCGGGCGCGCGGCGCCTCGTGATGCGGCCGGCACAGCGACATCCCGGAGCCGGCCGCGGCCCCCTGCGATTCCCAAGCACAGCGGGGAAGGGAAGAGGAAGCCTCGCTTGCCCCAAGCCTTGGGACAACCCTCGGGGTGGGAAAATGCCCTTCGTCACACAAACCAGAACGTCGCTTGCAGGTGGGCTGGGCCGTGAAACGGCCCAAGAGCGAAACAGAAGCGAACGGGACCAACGTCCCCTTGCTCCGTCCTCAAAGCCCGTTTTGGGAGCACCGCTTTGGACGCCAGACCGGGACGCGCATGGCGACGTGCAGCAGCGGCCCCGCTCGGAGCCGCTCAGGGAGCTGCCCCACGAGAGGGCAATGCCGCCCGTGTGGAGCTGGACATGCTGCGGGGAGCCCGCTCGAGGCAGCGCGTGCAGCATCAATCCCGTCCGCGCAGCGTCGTG